GGTGGGTGTGTGTGTGTGTGTGTGTGTGTGTGTGTGTGTGTGTGTGTTGGTGTGTCTCCTATCACTGCCATGTTACATCTTTTTTTTTTTTTTATTCCCACTCTGTGGTGCCAGGTGGCTTGGAGGTCAAGTCGTACATGACTCTGGAGATGCCTGGGATCTTTCTGATCTCATTGACCATCTTGAGCACCACCTGGGGGAAACAGATGTTGATGTGACACCGGATATGCATTGTAAATAGCCTGCAACAATAACATTCTGGTTAAAACAATGCTGAATAAACCCCAGTAGTAGTTGTCATTGCCAAAGATCAGAGACAATATGCCTATGAGGATTGTTGAATGCTATTTGTATGTGTTGCTGATCCATGCGCGTTATAAAATATTAAACCCAAAACCGCTACAATTTACTCTAACACTTTTGCTAGTAATTTCTGCCCCTGTTTGGAGCCCTGAACCTTGTCGTACCTCCTCCGGGATTTGGTTCCCCGGCGTGGCAGGGATGCCGGTCATGAAGTCGCTGGTGATAAACGTGCGGACCACGACAGACCGTCGGCAAGATGGCTGCTTTTGCAATGGGTCGCGATCAAAGTGCAAGGGCGTCAGGATGATTGGCATCTGGCTGATCTTTCCAGAGTATCCTGACAGGAGAAGGCAAAGCTTCTTCAAAAATTCTTTCAATTTTTTTTTTTTAATATATAATCGAGCAATATGAAATACTTATATCGTGATATACTTTTTAGTCATATCGCCCAGCCCAAAGTTACATTTATATATGACAAAGAATAAAAATTACGTTTGCTTAGCACATACACAATTAAACAATGTCTGAAATAACTGATGCTAAAATAACGACCCGAAATAACAGGCCAACATTTTTTCAGGTTACTTGTTTGCTTGTGTAGCCATGAGAGATTCCCCTTGTGAATGCAAATATGCAGCAAGTCAAGCTATGTGACTCGCCGAAGGCAAACTTGTGCGGCTCCCCACGCATTCTTCAGGTAGGTACTGTACATCCTGTACATGTACTTTCAATAGAATCCTAAAGGGCTGGGTGATTATGGAAATAAAACTCATCCTGGTTATTTTTGATTGATTTGGAAAATGGATGGATATTGCAATCATCAGATTGGGCATCTTTAAATATTCCGTCCCCCACACCCTCTCCCCCACGTTCAAACTTCTATTCAAACCAAAGACACTCACCAGACTCTCTGAGGATAGAATGAGCGACAAAGTCAGCCTGTCTAAGGGTGCCTAGAACGCCTGTGGTCAGGAAAGTCGGAGTGATGTCTATTGGTGGCTCCTTCACGTGAGGCCCAAATACATAGACAACTCTGAAAGGGGGAGGGAGTCATAAAAACCATGGTGGAGGTATGACTGCGCCACTTGTCACAGAATGCAATCAAATAAGAAACTTAGACAGTAGCATTGTGTGTTACCTATTAATGCTATGGCACATGCGAGGGATGAGTCTGGCCAGGAACATCAGAGATTCCCAATGAGGTGATTCTTTGCTTGTGATGCCACACACATAACTGTAAGAGCGGCAATCTCCCTGGATGAGAAAATCTCTTATTTAGTGCGTAAACAGGAATAAATACAACTAAAACGTTCACGGGGGAACACCCCTAGGCATGTGTACACGGAAAAAAGGACGGATCAGTTGAACTTTACAATGTTTGTCTACTGTCTCCACCACAGTTATGAGGTTAAGACTAAAATAAAAACTTGAGTGAGAAAACAGGAAATAAAAAGAAAAACAAGCCCCAAAAAAGTGGCAGCCGAGGGAATGGTTCTTTCAGCAATGCGAAAAGGCACTTTTGAGGGCAGGATAATATGTTTTTGACCACATTTTAATACTTGAGCACAATTTCCACTCCTTTGGATATACAAAATGTGAACCACACCTCTCCAAGTCTTCCAGATGGAAGGAGGGGACCAAATGCATAAACATTAGAGGAACTGTGTGTGTGTGTGTGTGTGTGTGTGTGTGTGTGTGTGTGTGTGTGTGTGTGTGTGAGAGAACTGGTTAGCCACTAAATGATAAACAACAAGAGGCGATGAGCAAACCCAAACTTAACCAAAAAGCACCTGGATGTGACCAAACAAATGACAAACCGATCACCTGGACGCCAACAGTTTTGATGGGCAGCAGGAAGGCATTAAGTGAATGAAGGCTGGTGATCTGCATGAGCTTCTCTTCCTCCTCGTCTGATATGCACGACTTGACTCTCTGCAGCAAGGCATGTGGCTGAAGATGAGAGAGACAGAACATCCCTGAAAACTACCATCTCTTAACAGTTGAGACCCGGGGCATGCCGTGTTTGATTTTTAACATGGCAAATATTTTGTGGTCTTACCATTCTATTGATGTTCGGTTATAGTAGGAAAATCGATTGGACCAAAACACTGACCTTTTTGACGCTAGCAGAAAAGTCTGTGACAATTTTGAGGATGTTGTTGGTTTCGGCAAAGTCTTTACAGATGTACGGCTCCTCTGCACAAATAACTCTGATGGACAGGCCAGGACCTATATGAGGTGAAGAGAATGAGACCGCCATGCAAAGAAACCAGAAAAGCTGACATACAGTATCAGTCAATCACTTTCAGACTTGTTTGTTCATGCAAATCTCTTGTACAGGGTCGAGCGGTTCATGGCTAAGTTCGGCTCATGTAGTGGGGGTGTAACCTGAATTTGTATGCAATTAACTAACCTACGGTAACATAGTAGTTTAGTCATAATTACTGTAAATATTTGTGTGAAAAGCACCGTAGGCCATAAATATGAATCCAATGTGAAAAAAATGGAAGTAATGCGGTTCAAGTGTTTCATTGCATTGCGTTCTTTCAAAACGATGTCTAGGACTGCTCTCCTGTAAGGCCCTGTAAACATATTTGTAAAACCAGTCAAATCAAACGTGGGTGTGTGTGTGTGTGTACTTACCAGGGAAAGGGTATCGCGAGACTATCTCCTCTGGCAGGCCTAATTCTCTCCCGAGCGCTCGAACCTCATCTTTATGGAAATCTTTCAACGGTTCGATAACTTTTCCCTGGAGCATCACAAACCAGTACAATCAGCATTTTAACAAAAACAAACACGCTTAGGTTTGCAGGGTCAACAGAAAGCTCCATTGTAATGACTCTTGCATCACATTCTCCCTCATAAATAACTATCGAGAAACTCAATATATGCATTTTTTTTTTTTTTATGTTTGAATTATCGATACACAATTTCTGCCTCTGAAGTACCTCATCTCTGAGTTTGCGGATGAGCTCGGTGTCATTGTGGTGTGTTTTGATGACCTCTGCCTTGCCACTGGCAAGATGAGACGCGCTTTCAATTAGATCGGGTCTCAGGGTACCCTGAGCTAAGAGAACCTCGTCTGGTTTGAGATCCATCTCTCCGATCACCTCGTTTGCCACCTGCAAAACGATATGATCCGCAAAATGTCATAGAAGGATCAACCAAAGAACAATTTAAAGCAAGAAGTCCAAAACAAAGACGCCATACACATGATTGACAGCATTAAGATGAAAGTGAACGTAAAAGAGATGAACTTGGTGAGGTGAACCGACCTTGACAAACGTATCCCCAATTATTTTCCTTTTCTCTTCGGGGTTGGTGGTCATATTCAAGGTCTTACTGATCCGTTTCCGAGGAGTCCTGTCCTCCTCCGAGATGGGAAGTGTTGTTGTCCCATTGTAGAATGTGTGTGAGGCGTTCACCACTGAATATTTCGGCAGAGTAAAGGTGGAAAACCCAAAAATAGGATTCGATTATACAAAGACCACACAGTATTTGACATATGAGACGAAATAAACATGTTCCATCAGTCAGACCACACCCACCTTTAAGTTTGATGCCTAATTTGGTGAGGGCCTCCTCTACGCTCTGGCTCTCTCTCTTCCTCATGAAGCCATTGTCAATGTGAACCGCAATCACTTGGTCCTGGTTCAGAGCTTTGTTGAGGAGGGCTGTGCACACAGTTGAGTCAACGCCACCACTCAACAGCACCTGCAGCAATCATTGTAGACCAGGTCACTACTGTGAAGAAGTCACTCCGACATCAAACAGTTTATCCTGCACGCACGCACGCATGCACGCGCACACAACGTCAAAAGAAGTGAAGCTGGAAAGACACTTTGCTCCTTCGCCTGTTGTATTTGGACTGAAATTGCAAAATAATAAAGAAATAAAAAGACGAGTTATGACTCAATGTGGCATAACAATCAATCAATGAATTTGATTTTACATTTATGAAGCCGACAGCATCTCTGATGACATACTTGTCTGAATAGTGAGGCTACTCTTTAAATATAACGTTATGAGCCACTCTCATCACCTTCACATTCCGCTGAGATGAAGCCTAGTTTATAAAGGCACTTAGGAAGTCGACAGGCACTTTTCAGACAGAACGGTTTCATTTGAGTGTTTAATTGCCTCGACTGATGCGATCAACACTTCCTCAGTAGTGACCTTGCACATACACACGCCCATGCGTAAATACGCACCTTCGCAGCGACTGGATGGATTTTTCATTTCTCTCTCTCTCTTTTTTTTTTTAACCATTCTGAACAGAAAATTGCACTGCAAAATATGACTTGTTACAATGTTACGCTTACCAACACTTTGGACTTGCCAACTTTTTCTATGATGTCATTGATGCAGGCCTGCTGGCGGTTCTGGACAGTAAAATTACTCGTGCATCCTGCAATCTCAAAGAGGAAGTTGCGAAGCATCTCCATGCCACGCTCTGTCAAGTCAACCTCTGGGTGAAATTGAGTTCCGTAGAGCTTCTTCTGCTCATTGGCAATACCTGGTATACCAAAGAGATGCAGAGGCTGAGCAAAAAAACCCTTATCAAATAACATAAGCACTACAATGTAATATTCACCCCTTTCTTGACTGTAACATTGTCAGTTTGTTATTTGAAACAGGAGCATTTGTGAAAATTTGATCAAATGTAGATGAAGTATGCATTCAACACTCACCAGCAATGATGTTTCCTGATTGGGCCACCACTTTAAAGCCATCAGCCACTTTATCCACACTGTCTCCATGGGTCAGCAGAACCACCTCCTCCTTCTGAAGGCCTCTGGTTAGATAAACACAAACAGCTACAGACTGTCAACTTTTAATGAAAAGTGTCAGTCGAAAGGCATTTTCACACCGTACTTTGCACAACGCACCGAAGATCAACTCATTCATGGTGTATGTGTTGCCGCGGGCGCGACGCCACCAACTACTACCGCTATGACTGTGAGGGAATTCATTTTGTCACGTTAAATTAAAAGGTTAAGAATGCCAAAGTGGCGCTTAAATCTTCCTTCCCCCTCTTGTATTTGGCACTTGAAAGAAAACGTTTGGACACCCACCTCCTGCACTACCCTATCACCAACTGGTTTGTAAAAGATGACAACAAGGAAAAGTGTAAGAAAGATTACCTGAAGAGTGAGCAGGTGTTGTCCACTCCAATACTGAACACCCCATCTTCTCTTACACACTTTTTGTGAACTGTGCCACCAAAAACTTTGTTCATCATCTAGAAATGAAACAGAAGAAAATGTTTTTAAAAATTTCATTTCATGCGACAATAGAATGCAGTATAGAGAAATATACTTGAGAACAGATGCTTTAGACCTACAAGCTCCCTGGAAAAGAGGCCTAACGATGCTTTTACCTCCCTCAGTTAGTCTCAATGTGCCCTTGAAGCAAGATGAAATCACAGCTGGCCCAAGAGAGCTGAACAGCAGCCAGGAAATCATGGTGAAGCGGAAGCTACTCAGATCCTCAAAGTGATAATTCCTTGGATGAATAAATGCCTTCAGACAGTGATTCTCAGTGTGGTAGGCATACAACTAGTGGTATGCAGGTTCCCTCTAGTGGTATGTGAAAGAATCGCCGCCTGAGTACAGTTCAGTTGTATTTAACTTCAAGTTCAATACATTTACATTTAACCTTTAAGAAATTATATCATACATACACACTTTTTCATGTATTTTCTAAATTTAAGCATGGCATTAAAGTTGAAAGTGCTTCATGTTGGTCATGATGGTGATACCTGGAGACCTAAGTACTTTTTAAGTGGTATTTGGTGTATAAAGCTTTACGAACTGTTGTCTTATTGGAAAAGAGGATCACAAATCATGTAATAGCCTTAAAAAAAGACTTGTACAGCATGTACCTGCATTCCATAGCAAATCCCCAGGACAGGCTTTCCTATGGTAAATATAGCAGGGTCAAACCATGGTGCATCCTCTGCATACACAGAAGCAGGGCCCCCTGAAATGATGATTGCCCTAGAAAAAAAAAGAACATTAGTACACAAAAGACTGGCAGAGCAACAGAATTACAGGGGAACCCTAAAAGCAATTTATTGTGGCTTTTTTTAAAATATATATTCCAAAAGATGAACCAGACTCAACAAGGGAGGAAAAACGAGAAGTATACCCACACTGAAGGTTGTGTGAAATAAGCAGACCTGCATTGAAAGGAGTATGATGTGCTATTAAATTAAAAACAGTTGAGAATATTTTATTGTTTTTGTGGTTAACTTATTTTGCTCTGTGGTTTAATTCTATTAAAAAAATGTCTCAAGAATAAAGATTGTAATAAAGGCAAACGTTTGACCACATTAGATTAGAGATTAGTCATAGTCATGATTCTATGGGGAAATTCTCAATCTTGGATGTTCCACTATACAATCAAAAACCCAACACATCACAGTGAATGATACTGTAGATAGAGAGACAGACAGACGCAATCCTTGATGGAAAATTAAGTGAAATGCTTTATCTATTCACCTGTAACCTTGTTCCCTAATAGCAAAGGCCGGTGTCTCTAATGGGAGGATCTCTGAGCGCACACACAGCTCCCGCACACGTCTGTCAATGACCTTGCCATACTGGGCGCCAGCATCCAGGATGGCCACGGCTCCCTCACATGACCCATTCTGCTCCACGATGCCAATCTGCAGCCAAGAGTCACAATCAAAGTCACATTTGTCCATGAAAGACAAGTCTTAATTATTGGTAAGTCACTTCTTGACTCAACTGAGATCCGTTTCTACTTTCCACTCTAACCAGAGTAATTTGACCTGCCGTAGTTAAGCTTGTCCTTATAAATGGCATGTGACTGACCAGGTCTCAATAAATGCACCGAAGCCATTCTGCTTATTAGGAGAATCACATGCAACTCATATGAGTGAGAGGATGTCACGAATTTATGTTGGAACTTTGGGAATATGCATTCATTGAGAGTGGGAATAAATCGTTTGAATTTTTGGTCAAAATAATTCAGTCAAGATGGTAAAGATCTCTCATCACAATGTCTAACTATGTTTTACTGTCACTTTTCTATCATTAAGCTAAAGATACCCATTCACCAAATAAATTCCCTCAAAAATTGCCAAACATAATACTGTATTTAGTATAATTCTTTTTCCTTCGCATGCGGTTTAATCTATCTCAGAACCACTTCCAACTCCGAAAACAGAGTAAAATACAAATGGGCATAATTCCTCACAAATTAAACTATCTGTAAAACGTGTACTGGTCCTAATATTTACTCAAAATGGCGGCCGTGTGTGGGGTAATTAAAAAAAAGCTCGACTCAAATGTCAATACTATGACGATAACTGATGTATTAACGATGTGTCCCGGGGAGGGAACACTTCTAATATGGGTCTCCAGCCGGCAATGTTTGGGAAACACAGATAACAAACGATTAGATGCGAGGAACGATTCGCAGTGTCCATAAAAAATACGCCCGTGTGGCTGTATAAATAACATACTAACCAAAAATTCGATGATGAAAAAATGACATGAGCGATAACAGTAAAGTAACATGAACTCACGTGGTTCATACTACGCTCGGTTCGTTCACATCAGTGAAGTGCCCCTCCAAACAACATCGTCAATAACGTTACGGGGTGGCTCACTTGGACAGGGATACTCAGATTATTATTAATACTAATATTACGGCAATTAAGAAGTATTTACATCTATCAAGTCCGAAAAAGATGTTAGCAAACTGTCAAGACCCGACGCTATTACTGCTCCAAGTTTGTGACGGTGAGTGCTCGAAAGAACTAAATTAGCAAGCCAAACGTTTAATATCACTCCAAACTATCAAAAAAGAGAAGCAATGCCTTTTCATGATCTACCGATGGCAAAAGTACAATTGTATCAATTTAGCTGGTGACGCTGACAAACTGTGCCAGTGTCGAATCCTAGTGGACGGTCAAAATAAACAGGAATGAGCATTTAGCATGTTAGCACGTACTGGAAGAAGCTCAGCTAAGTTAGCGGGGCTATGCTAAACCCACGCGGTGACTTCATATGGTGAGGGTCCAGCGTTACAGCAAACTAAGCGTTATTAGTGGTCAACGTTATCAAAGATCCACGCGTGTTCAACCTCGGTTAATAGACGACCCTCGGCTTTAGCGACAGGTTCACGTAAAGCGGCAACAGGCACCGGGCGCCGTGCACAATCCTGATGTTAACAAACATGTTCTCCCAACTTTCCACGCAAATCAATACAAGGCCGTAAGTAAAAGCGAAAGTGGTGAAACCACAACGCAAGAGCGAGTAATGTCACAGCAACAGCGGCGGCGGCTGCTGCTTTTCCTGCTGCTACCGGCTCCACCGACCTTGCTGTCTCCGTTGCACATAGCCATGGAGGGGACTGTTGTGTGGTGGAATGAGCGCTCCGCTTTCGCCTTGCTGTCCTCGGTGTGTGGGAGGGAGGGAGGGCGAGAGACAGACAAGAGGCACTGAGAGAGAGAGCGAGAGAGAGAGAGAGAGAGAGAGAGAGAGAGAGAGAGAGAGAGAGAGAGAGAGAGAGAGACAGACTCGTTGGTTTGACTGGGGCAAAACACAAATACACTGGCTTCTTGCTGTAAAGTGGAGTGTCAGCATCTCCCCGTCTCTTTTCTACTGAGGATTCATTTAATTGTGGCCAAAATGAACGTGTTTGTGTGCTTCTGTGCTTAAAGTGTTTGAGAATTTATTAGATAACCATGAGTTTATGGCTTATCTATGAGTTGTTCTACTTGTGTGCTGATTCGTCTGATAGTATAATGTCAATAGGTAGAATTTTATGTCATCAGTAGGACTAGTAGCACACAGTTGTCAACTCGTGCATAGTACACAGGCCTGCCTCTGGAGATGGGGCTTGTTGGTGGCTGGGCCTGCACCCATGGGGCCTGGCTGGGCTCAACCTGTAAGGGCAATGAGGATCCCCCTTCCCATAGGGTCACCACTTGTGGGAGGAGCCAAGGGGGTCAGGTGCATTGTAGCTGGCTAGGTGGCGGCCAAAGGCCTTGGTGGTCCGATCCCCGGCCACAGTAACTGGCTCCAGGGTCAGGACAGGGAAGGACCCTGATGTGCGGGGTCAAGAAGTTTCAACTAGATATAAGGTCAAGGTCATCTTTATAATCGGACTCACCTCGAACCACAGCTTTGGTAAAAGTCCTCTTGAAAGGAGTTGGACTCTCCTTCACTCTGGAGTTGCCCATGGAATGGAAAACTGATGGGTGTGCTGTAATTGATATCTCATGTTGTAATGTGAGCGAGTATATTAGAAAGAGCTTTCAGTAGGATGGCGTGCAGTTATAGACCACTTTAAACTACAACCACAATAAACATTGTTTAATCAATATATCTCAGTGTGTCAGGCCAAATAGAGCATAATTATAAGAACAGCATAACTTTTGAGTAAAATGGAATTCAAAGCATAGGATACTTTCGGTATCCATGGTTACCTTGTCTTAAACAACCACACTGTAATTGTAGTAGTCAGTTGTCACATGCTCTCAGTTAAATCAGAAGTCCGGCCGAGTGGAATTGGAATTTCACAGGGAAGATATAAATTCGAGCACATGAGTGACATTCAGTTGTAGAGTCTAACTGAATAACAGTGTTAAAATTGTGTGAACAGTGACAACACAGTTTTTGGGCTGAGGTTGGAGCAGCGGAGGGGCATTTCTGATGGACACTTGTCAAATAAACTACAATACATTCTTATTTATTTATAACACCGAACCACAGAAGTGTGAGGCAGATGTGCGGACCAATACATCAACAATCTGCCCACTCTGATTCCCTGAAATACAATAACGCAAAGTACAATAAATGTTATTAAAAAGATACTGTTTATATTCTAAAAAATAAACGGAAAACAATGAGGGCAACAAAATGGGTTTTATTCTATTTATTTCCCCAAATATTTTCATGTATTTTCAAAAGGGTACATTTTTCATCCTCGACACAACAGAAGGGATATTAACAGTGGGCATGAGAAAACACCCCACTACCCCCAAAAATGTCGCACTGACTAAGTAAAAGGCAAAACTGACAAAGACACATGGATATGGTCAAGCCTGTTCTCATCACATGCTGATCTTCAAATATGCCTGCGACATGTCACATGCCATCTGTGGTGATAAGCAGCATCACATGCATTCAAAGCAACCACAAGGCAGAGCATGCTGCCAGTCATTACCTTCGACTTGAAAAGTGTGATGGCTGTATTGTGTGCTTTGCAAAAAGGCCTTTCGATCGCAGACACGCTTCGCAGAGAACGCTTCTGCGAAGAGATCAACCTGTGGTGATTTTATACTGGACAGAGACAAGACTCTAAGAGTTGTGAAAGAATATGAGCAGTCACAAATTCCCTTGACTCGACTCGCAATTTCTTAGGGTCTACAATCTGTGTCTTTTTTGCAAGGTCGTATTTTTGTTGTTGTGAGGAGAACATAAGTCACACTTTTATGTGGTTCAAAAGTTCAAATGATTAAATTAACATTTTGTTGTTTTTGTATAAATAGCGGCAATCTCACCTTGGGCCCACATTGTATCTATTTCTTCAACTATGCTCCAATTATGTTATTTTCCTGAAAGATTCAATGTCGAGGACATTCCCGGAGGAAAACCCATGCAAGCCAGGGAGGAACCTGTGTGGAGTTTTGTTCTTCCCCTGCCAACATTTGAACATTTGAACACTAGAACTCAGAACTGTTCGGCACGTGTCCTATGAGGGCCCCGCGCGGCCCGATCAAAACCTTCCACCTTTGTCAGTGTGGCAGCAAATATGCGTGTCCGGCAATAGTGAAGTGCCAGACACTCTTGCCAGTCACAGTAGCGTTACTGTCAGCCGAGGAGGATGCAGTAGAGCTGAAGACTGATACGAATGACGTTTTTCATCATGAAGATTTTGAGTCTTGAAGCGGTCAAATTGGTAAACTATGTTAACTGATGATTCATGTTCTTATCTAATGCAGCAAAAGTGTTGCAATGATTCACTAGTTAGAGTAGGAAGAAATACGTTTATTTAAGAGATGTTCAACTGGCTGCCTTGAGGCAACGTTCAAGCTTTAAATGTCCCTTTGCTCTTTCGCCAAACTTTGATGACATCACAACCACCAATCACCAGGCCCGCGCTTAATAAAGGCCCACTCCCATAACAAAGAAACAGAAACAAATGCGAAAGTCAAAAGCAACGTTGAGCTTGATTTACTACAACGGTTACCCAAATGCGCAACACCCTCACGACAGTTTTACAATCGTGATATTGTAATAGGCAGCAACTCGAACGGAAGCAAGAATTCAGTTCGATTTTGACACGTCAGCTGTAGTGACTCGGACACATTTGAACGTTGCACACAAGCATACTTCCTCATGCCTCTGACGTCCGTGTTGTTAAATATTCTCTAATGTGACTTGTCAAACCTCTACGGTAGGCTTTCCAGTGTTTCGTGTGTTGCTGGCTTTGTTTTGTCACATTTCCGACGACCAACAAATTCACTTTTAGCCATTATGTGTAATTTGGTTACTCTTGTGTGCTGTTTTTGTTTTAGTTTATGATTAGCATGCCGCTTATTTCGCCGTCATCACAATCAGGTATGCATGCTGGCATATGATTTACTTTTCTTCTCATGATTGCCCTTCGTATTTGCATCCCTTCAAGAACTGACTTTCATGATTGAAGCGTGTATGGAATTTAAAGTATTACTTGTATTAAGTGTGATTTTTTTTTTTGCTTCTGGGTGACGACACAATTTTTTCGCCAGCATATTTGTTTTTTTATGTGCAAAATTCTCTCTGTTATCCTCGCACAGTTTTAAAAGAAGTCTATTCACACAATATCATTTAAATGAGGAAATGCATACTGCTCTAGTGTTGGCTCACCGCCCATTTCACCAGCCTTATTTGCACCAGAGCTAGACAGAGACACAATTGAGTCATTTAACTTGTTTGCTTTTTTTTTTTTTTTTTTTAAAGTCAAGTCGAGCGATTTATTTATGTATATATTTTTTCAGATTTGCTGAGTGCACTGCACCCTTGGATGCCCCCGTCGCTACCATGGAACACTGTAATCACAATGTAATTACACAAAAGAATGGGCGGCAGAGAAAGAAGGTAGTTGTGGGCCTCCCCCATTCTGAAAGCCCGAAGGACACCGAGAGGACAGAGATGTTCATCTCTGAAATGGTAGTAGATAGGCAACTGGACAGCCCAATTGTAGAGTCAGACTCTGAGGACAGGATACATCTCAGAGTCCACCGGGGTATTCGGACCGAGTTGGGGAACGTATTGCTTCTTCTCTTCCTCTATGTGCTGCAAGGCATTCCCCTTGGACTGGCTGGCAGCATTCCGTTGATCCTACAGAGTAAGAATGTCAGCTACAAGGACCAAGCGGTCTTTAGCTTTGTTTTTTGGCCATTTAGTCTCAAGCTTTTATGGGCCCCGCTGGTGGATGCGCTCTACTGGAACAAGTTTGGTAGAAGGTAAGATGAAACTTTGTGAGCTTTGTTTGTACAATCACTGTAAGCTTTGTTTATACGAGTTGAGCTTCTCCGTTTCTTCTCATGTCTCTATAGAAAATCCTGGCTGGTACCCACGCAGTACTTGTTGGGCCTCTTCATGCTCTACCTTTCTGTAAGAGTTGACTCGCTGCTGCAGAGTGAGGGAGGCCCCAATGTGGTCGCATTGACATCAGTCTTCTTTATGCTTGCCTTTCTAGCAGCCACACAGGTAGGCATCTATAAGTGTCATGATGGTCAGGCATATTCAATACGTATGGTTTAGGTGTATGATAATGCTAGTACCATACTGAAAAACGTACTGAAAGAATAAATCTTTGAGTCATGACAATAAAGTGGGAAATAAAAGGAACAACTAGACGAATAAAGAAAGACACAATAAACTTATAGAAAGGAGAAAAAAACATTTTTTGATTTTGAGAAGCAAAGTGAATAAAAATAGAAGATTAAAAAAAATGGCCAGTCATACTACACAACAATAAAATGTAATTTTAACCAGAAGTCATAACATCTGCAAATAAATAAAAAACATAATTAATGTAATACAATTAAATCATATGAGAAGTTCAGTAGTTCTTTTTTGAAAGACCTTCTACTGCTGTCGTCGTCAGGACATTGCTGTAGATGGCTGGGCACTGACGATGCTATCCAGGGAGAATGTAGGATATGCGTCTACATGCAACTCGGTGGGCCAGACAGCTGGCTATTTCCTGGGTAATGTGCTCTTTTTGGCTCTGGAGTCTGCCGACTTCTGCAACAAATACCTCAGACTAGAGCCCAAGCCGACCGGAATTGTCACCTTGGCAAGTAAGTCGGTTTCCCGCATCCCCGAATGTCGCACCGCTCTAATTTTCGACATCTAACGTTTGTTGTTTGGCTGCAGACTTCTTGTTCTTCTGGGGAGTGGTTTTCCTGGTTTCCACAACGCTGGTGGCCATCTTAAAAAGTGAGAATGAGCGAAGCGAAGGCAGGAGGAAAGATCCAGAGGAGACCCAGGGTGTTTTCCAAACCTACAAGTTGCTGTTTACGATCATCAATATGCCAGCGGTCTTTACCTACTGCGCGCTGCTTCTCACGGCCAAAGTAAGCACTCTTTCAACACACGAATTTGCCTTTGCCAGAGCTCCACTTAGGCTACTCTTTCGTACGCTTGTTTCAGATCGGCTTCTCCGCAGCCGATGCGGTGACTGGGCTGAAGTTGGTGGAGGCCGGCGTTCCGAAGGCACAGTTGGCATTGCTGGCTGTGCCCATGGTGCCTCTGCAGATCCTTCTACCGGTGCTCATCAGTAAATACACAGCGGGGCCCAGACCGTTGGATATCTTCTACAAGGCCTTCCCTTTAAGGTTCTAACCAGCACACACACAAAGCACAGCGGTCCGTGTGTTGCGGCTTTGGTCAAGTGTTATGTTATTGCAGGTTAATCATTGGCCTGGAGTTCGCTCTGCTTGTTGCGTGGACCCCAAGCGTGAGACAAGAAGAAGGCTTCCCTGTTTACTACTATGGCGTTGTGCTGCTTAGCTATGCAGTGCATCAGGTGATCTGTTACTTGTATACTCGTTATCTTTTTTTTTTTTTTTTTTTAAATTTCCATCAGAGCTTGCTATTCCACAGTAGTGGCCCGGTGAGGTAGTAACTGAATCTTCCTGCCCACAGGTAGCTTTGTACAGCATGTACGTCGCCGGCATGGCTTTCAACGCCAAAGTGAGCGACCCATTGATTGGTGGCACTTACATGACACTGCTGAACACAGTCACTAACCTGGGAGGGAACTGGCCCTCCACTCTTGCGCTTTGGTTGGTGGATTCCCTCACCTGGAAGGAGTGTCAGGGCGCTGTTGGGCAAACTTGTGCCTCACCGGAGGCAGTGGGGGTAAGGGCGTGTCTTCTGCCTTCCAGTATTGTAGAACTGTTCTGCACAATAGTGCAAAACTACATATTACTAGTGACGCAAAGCTATTATTGGGGATTGTGATGCTACCGGTACGGTCCAGAAGGCTTCCTGTGCAAGCCTCTTAGTTGAGCGTAGTAGTGCAGCACAGTACTGTCATTTACCAGTAAGGTTTAATTGTGTATTAGTAGACAAAAGTGCCACTCATAGTGAGGGGAAAAAATGAGTTAGTCAGTAATTCTGCTAGTGCATTGAATGTGTTAGAAAGCACTGAGTGTCGCTAGTCCTCTTTTCCAGCTGTGCGTCAAGGAGGGCGGAGCCTGTGTCACAACGCTGGATGGCTACTACGTGGAGTCAGTGGTGTGTGTGCTGATCGGCTTTGCCTGGTGGGTGTGGTTAGGGCAGAAAATGAAGAAGCTGCAGGAGCACAGTCCAGCTGCGTGGAGATGCCGAGTCGTCACTGGTTATGACTGAACCAGTCCATTTGTTTCGTTTTCCCTCTGCAAACAGACATCTGAATGCTGGATACTTTATTTTTTATTTAAAATTTTTTTTTCGCATCAAAGCCTTTTGTTTCTTTGGTGACGGAAACAGCATGACCAAATCAGAGCTGGCTCGTTACAGCATCAAGTAATGACCCACTACCACATGACAAGACTGTTTACATAACCCATCCAGAAACAACGCATCATATACCTGCCTGACCACCCACTGGTTATTCTTTATTAACTGATAGGAAAGGAACAGCTAAATGTTGTTGGTGGATCACATTGTTTCCTTGTGTGCTTTGGAGTAAACTTATGAAAGATATATATACCATACAGGTCAATGGAACGCTTTAAATTGTCCCTAGGTGTGAGTGTGAGCACGAATGGTTCTTTGTCTAAGTGTGCCCTGCGATTGGCTGGCAACCGGTTCAGGGTGTCCCCCGCCTACTGACAGCTGGGATAGGCTCCAGCATGCCCGCGAGCCTTGCGAGGATAAGCGGATTAGAAAATGGATGGTTGAATGGGAGAGGGTTGGATGTTTTTATTGGGGCAGGGTTGTTAGGATGGGGAAATTACACCTGTTTTTATTGGGACGGAGCTGTTGAATATAAAGAGATAATCTGTAAAAATGTGTTGATTTTTCACTGTTCATTGTTTCAAAAACAAAATATATAATTATATGCAAAAAAGTGTTCTGTCACATCAACGTATTTTTTTAATGTAATTTGTAGGTGACGTAAATGCAAATACAGTATATTCCACAGGGCGCGCCTCTTATACTGGACGATACAATTTTTAACATTTTACTGACACGGGTACCCGAATGATACAAACTTAGCGAACGTAGTTCCTTAACATTATTACCACAGCATGTGTCATAGAGTCCATTGACTTTACTCGGTCACTTAAGGGAAGACTTGAAGACGTTTAGGCTGATATTTTGCACCGCTGATGAAGAAAGTGGTGGTAAGCTAGCAAAGTTGTCTCTGAGGCACCGCAGCGTTCGTCTTTCAAAATGCACGCGCTTCGATCTTAGGTCGTTGCATTCTATTAGTTCACCACTAGATAGCACCACATTCTATACATTATACCTTGTAACTCTCGACGCTCGTGCGGAAAGCCATTGTCCCTGTCTGGCAAATATATAAGGCATCACCAGCATTTAATTAAACATTGCGGTCCGTTGGGTAAAATCACACACGGTTGCAGTTTACACCCCCTTCGCTGGTTTTTGAGTGCAATTGGCTGGCGACCAGTTTAGGTGGAGCACAATCCCTCTCCTTTTGGCCAGTCAACTGGAATATGCTTCAGGTCTCTCGTCATCTCGATGCGTACAAGCGCAATAGAAAAATGAACGTTTGTTTTAGATTACATTTAGTTTTGGTCCCTTGTGTGCCCTTTTTGTCTGCACCTGTTGTCGTCACCCGTGTCCCTTGTGTTTAACCAATAAACTCCCTCAACCCTTTGCGTCTTGTCCAGGTGTTTCTCGTTGTATCGTAACTTTGATTGTATTTAGTTCACTGGGTTCTGTCAGTCTTTGTTGGATCATTGTGAATGTCTGTGTGCTCCTGTCATGTTTTGTTTTCCGTTATAGGTTATTTGCTTTGGTTTCTTGTGATTTTCACGACTTCCGAGTACTTAAGGGAGCTTCCAGCGGTGGGAATATCTAGCTTGAGGTTGTCATGACATGAAATAGATGAGATATCATTCAATATATTGAGTTATGGCTGTGGATATGAAGTGCGGTTACACAGAGAATACACAAAGCATAATTTTTTTTGTATGTTTTATTATAATTCCCCTTGCTTCACCAGAAATGTTCAAATGTCCTCGCAAACAACAGGGCTTGATGGAGGTAGCGAATAATGCAGCCCAAACTTTTTTGAGAACATTCAAACTGCAAACAGCGTCGAGATCACCTGTTGGCAACGGGAAAGGGATGGCATTTCTTCATAATTTTAGTCCAATGATAATAATCCAATTCTATACCCCAAATGGGGAGCAGATTAATTCAGTTTGGGCCTTTTGAACACATTTAACCCATAATGTCCCCAAAATGTAAAAAGTCCACTTTTTCCAAACATAACTGATATGTTTAACTTAGGCTTTCTTATTCATAATTAATGCATAGCACAACATTCGATGAAAGCTAAAGCCACCAATACATTTTGAACTTTAGACCCAATTGCATCTTTTTTTTTTTTTTGAATCTGTGTGCCGTCTCCCAGCAGCATGAGCACCTTCTTCAATGGCATTCGCTAATTCAGCACAAAGCAGTTGGATGGCTTCTTGAACAGCAGATCACCCTTTCTGCTAAAAAATCTCTTGCTGCAGGTCCTCTGAAATGTCTCTGGTTCTTCTGAGCTCCAACTTGGGAAGATGTGGTGGGAGAGGGTCAAATGTGGAGAAACCAGAAGCGTCTGTGGAGAACCGTTGCAACGACAATGCAAGACGGTAACACTGATAAATGAACCGAGGCATGCTGGCATCCTGGACCAGCGTTCCACCGCCAGGCTGTGACAGCACATGCAGCGTGTGTTGGGCAAGATTTGATTGACATTGTCTCTAGCATCCATACCTTTTTGCTTTGCTTCTTAAAAATACGAAAAAGAAAAAAAAAAAGTCAAGAAATAAACTCAAGCAGGCGAGCTGGGTCATAGGTTCATACGTAAATGCTCGGGCCTTTTTGCTGCCACGGGGTACGCTTGTTGCTTCATCAGAGCCAGGTTGACCCCGGTAGGCTGACGAATTGGAAGAGGCGCGGAGGCTTCCGAGTTGGTGGTCACATCCATCTGCTCTGGAGTGGAGACTTCCATGGCCTGGTCCTGAGGAGACTGGAGCAGAGTCGGATCTCCGCTCGGGAGGAGTGAGCTCCGCGGCCAGTCCCCTCCTGAAAACTTGACTGGGCTGAAATGATGGAAGAAGGTTAGCACCAAAATGATCAACCAAATCTGAATTCGTACTTGCCCGTATGCTGTAAAAACCCCATAAAAGATTCTAACTGAAAGATCCACAATGTAGCGGGGGAGGGGGAGGTGGTTCACTGTAATGCTACATGGATACAGACATTACAAGGGAACCTCTTAAAGAGTTCAGTCCTCATGAGGAATTTGTTCATCAACTGTTACATTATTACATTATTGTCCACGCATAGCATCAGAACAACATCCATTCACCTCGATACACGTCGACAATCTAATGAAACCTAGTATGTCTTAGAAAGTCAGCCTTTAGAAAGATGACAACGATCGGTTATATAAGAGTCATTTTTTTTCCCCCCTCACCAATGTTACTCCGTATTCACCACGTGACGAGAGATGGCAACATGGAGCAGTTTTTACCTGAGAGGCGTTCTTGGGCTGCCGATGAATCGTCGAGGTGAACGGATTTTGGGCTCAAAGGAGAACTTCTCTTTGATATTTTCCAGGACCGAAGGAGCAACATACGTGAACCCCTGCGAGAAAGTAGAAGAGACATTGGAGGGAAGCACAGTGAGTGCTTTCTGGTGAAGACACCAAAAGATTCCAATGAGCAGAAGTTACCAGGAAAGCTTGATTGGCACTCTCACTAAGCGTCGAGTCATCAGGGCTGTCGACTGGCGTTTGACTGGTGAATTTAGAGTCAAACTGACTCACGTCTTCAGCTGATTGCTGAAAAGTCAGAGGGGAATGAATGACAAAAATAAATCTATTTAAAAAAAACAGTCATAGACATACATTGGTATATTGACTTCTCTTTTTTCAAGTGATGGGCTGTCTCTGGGTTGATGTTTTCACTTTGTATTGCAAGCAAACATTTGAATTACAAAAAAAAGTACTATAATGCCATCACATGTTGGGGAAGGAGAGCCATGGTCGATGCACTTTTAGATTTTCAGCCGTTTATTGAACATGACAAGTGGTCAAACCAAATAGAAAATGAAAACTCATGACGGGCCGGACATTCGACATTTTCAAGGCCATGAACGGTGGGCAGCACAAGGCGGCTCACTCAGTTACTGCCGAATTTAGTGTTTTATATACATGACCTGGAAGTGTTTTTTAAAATACAAATATGTGGTAAAATTATGATATTTCGAGGTTACGAATGGTGGACAATGAACCAAGCCGAAAATAAGCCGACATAAATAAAACGAGACTAGTTGGAGAAACACGGTGGCTCCAAACTCACCAAGAAAGGTTTGAAGGGAGGCTCCACTTTACGAGCCAACAAATCTTCCCAATTGATGTGTCGGAAGAAGGGGTGTGCCTGTGGAACATGACGATGAGCCATGGGGAGGGAGGGGGGGCGGGAAGAGAGAGAGCGAGAGAGAGAGAGAAACTGACATGTATCATCGTGCTTCTGTTTTTTTTTTTTTTTTAAATACAGTAGAAGGAGGCTCTAACAATTTCTTCATCAAAGGAAATCATTTAAATAGAGTTCATTCCTTTATTTATTTGGAATCAAATTATCACCATTGTAGGACTTTTATAACTTAACAAATTCTGAAGTAACAAACATTAGAAGCGGTCAAACGGGTCTACAAATAACCAGTGAAGTAATCATGTTAAATCAATAAAACAGTCATTTTACCACCCGTCACACTGGCTTGTCGCTAAATTGATGCATCTGAGACGCCACGTTAGCGCTGGAAGTTATTTGCCTGTCAGAGAGAACTCACTGAAGCGGGGGAAATCGAAAGTGCACATCCACCACTCATTTACCAGGAGAGCACAATAGGTCACTTTACAGATGCGCCTCACAAGTCCTCTTTTTTTTTAACAAAGAACTTGAAAAGTTGAGTTTTGTATTTATTAAACTGTTATTTTATTCTATTTTATTTTTTTACGAAATGCACTAAGATTCTGATTCTGAAAAGGAAGTTGACCACTTAAGAGTGAGTTAACATTAAACCACTGAACTTACGAGGACTCATGATATCATGCACAGTAGACCGTACTTTCTCTTCATATGTTCTTAACAACACTGGTTAGGAACACTCTGCTCTGACTTTTACGTGTGGCATGAAGACATACTGTATGCTGACTCTCGTGAGGTACGTCAAGGTCTGGAGTGTTGCACCTCCAATTTCAAACGGATGCTCACCTGCACCTCCGTGGCATCGCCAGCACCCGCTCCCAACCGCGACGAGGCGGTTCTCTTAAGCAACTGCAATGCACATTTCAAGTCGTTAGGAAAGCATATCCAATCGCAGTCGCTTCGCAGAGGCACCCTTGAGGTCAAAAGCGCGAGCTACCCGTTTCAGGAGGTCTCTGGCTTCCTGCGTGAGGTAGGGTGGAAGGCTGAGCTTGCACTTCAAGATTTTGTCAATGGTCTTTTTGCGGTTTTCGCCAGTGAATGGCGGCTAGGAGAGGAAAGATGAAAAAGAATTGCTCGATCACCGCAGCACTCGTACTACATTAGGATTTGGAATGGTAGGCAAGACGGCAATTTTGTGAGTCATACCCACCGCCCCAGTGAGCATGTCGTACATCAGAGCACCGAGACTCCACCAGTCGACAGCTCTGTTATGTCCACTGCGCATTAATATCTCTGGGGCCCTGTACCAATGAGAAGCCGTGGCTTACTTTAAAAAAAAAAAAAAAAACACGAAAGAACTTGCCGACAATACATAAGTGCAAGTGCGCATAGTAGTGTCAATTGGGGCAGAGCTACTTACATGTATTCAATGGTACCACAGAAAGTGTGGGTCACTGTCCCGTCGTGAATCGACTCTTTGCACAATCCAAAATCTGTTAACTTGACATGGCCTAGAAGGAACACACGCAGGCACGCGGGCGCGGGCGCGCGCACACACACACACACACACACACACAGTTTGAGTTCACATCCAATTACAGATCTTTCAGTTATTTTGAGATTTTTCTGATGGAAAATGGGTTCCGTGGGTCATTAAAGGATGCAAAACGCCAGTCAAGCGGTTGGTGTCGCACAGTTTTGTCATCGAACCAACATGTTCAAGCTCGCGCACACCTTGATTGTTTAGCATGATGTTCTCAGGCTTTAGGTCTCTGTAGATGATGCCCTTCTGATGCAGGTGTCCCAGAGCCATGGAGATCTCAGCTAGGTAAAAACTACAAGGAAAGACAATTCCCTCATTGGCACTTTTCACATTTAAAGCCTTAATTAAAACGCTTCCCAGAGCATATGCCCCCCCATCCCCTCTTTTTTATCCTCTCACCAGGCTGTGTCTTCCATGAAAATGCCCTCTCTTTCCAGCTGCATGAACAGTTCTCCTCCTACAAGGAAAAACAAAACAGCATGAGTGAAACACACCTCACCAAGAAGTTCGTCCTCTGCAGACATGAACAACTTAATAAATGTCCCTGAAGTAGTACAATTTGTCATCATTGTCCTCGTTTTTTGTCACAGGTGAGCTGGCGCACGTCCCGGCTGACTTTGGGCGAGAGGCAGTGTACATTAGTCGCCAGACACTTGCAGGTATGCGACACAAGTGCCAGATGCATGAGGGTTGCAAATTTCGCCAGACGTCATATGTAACACTTAAGTGATGCGTGATACAAGGTGAGGTGAGCGGACTTATGTTCGTAGCAGTATGACTGCGGTGTCCAAGATCCTAAACTAAATTGTTTTAGAGGGTAGGTGAAGATCGGGGTGTCCAAACTATGCCCCGGGGCCATTTGTGGCTCACCATCCCTTTTTCAGTGGCCCGCGACATGACCCCAAAAACTAAAACAAACTAAAAATGACAGTTGACATGGGGCACAAGATTCGCGAAAAAAAAAAAAGTGAAACTCTGTAGTAAATAAAGATAATTCAATCTCAGAGGGAAAAATAGTTTCTTGCATTTTGTGCTCTATGGCTGATTTATGAAGACATCACAATTATGATCCTCAAGTAACTTGTTTGAAAAATGGTCACTTTACGACAGTTTGTTCTTTTTTTGGGTTCTGAATATGGAGATGGGATTCGGCTGCTGTTTGAACGCGCAGGATCTTCTGTTTAGTGCAGAGCTGGGTCTACTCTGTGAGAGATGGCTTTTGGCCACCCCAAAAACTTGGAAAAATCGGGGAAAGTGGGAAAATTGAATATAAATCCAAATAAATGGCAGGTCGACCACCGCCCTGAAACCGACGGTGTTCTTCTTTAGCTGTTCCACGATCCTACTTGTGTCAGGTGTGCACGCTGTCGCACTAACCGCTCAGGTACTCCAGGATGAGGTACAGCTTCCCGCCTGTCTGAAAGGCGTAGATGAGATCGACAATGAAAGGATGCTTCACCTCCTCCAGGATGTTCCTTTCCGCCTTAGTGTGGGCTGTGTCCTTGGCATTGCGTACAATCATTGCCTGTCACACATCCAACAACAATTAACAGGAAAACGTGAAGCTGCGTTATAAAGCCTAATGAAACCGTTTTTGTTCATTGGACTAGAAGAGTGAGAGGTGTGTGCTGGGTAGAGTCACCGATCCACCTCCATAATAATAGTGACATTTGTTAATGATTGCTAAGGCGGCAAATCAAATGTTTATCCTCGTTTTTGGTCCATACGCAAACAGCTACATGAATAATGAGCCAGAACACATATTTTACATCAGAAAACCCCCCAGGAAAATGTTCCTGATATTCCTTTATTTTTTTAGTCAACTCCTTTGTTTTGGTCAACTTCGCCTGCATTTGTTTTAATCTGGCTCCGTATGGTCACGCATTGCTAGTGAACTTCAGTACTGCATGTGCACAATTTACATTATCAGCCCACAAAGCATTTTTTGCCTCGATTTGAGTGACAGAGAACAACATATGTGCATACTTGTTTCAGTGTATTTACACAAAGAAGCTGCATCATGGATTCACGGGTATTGGAAACAATGGGCATGTGTTAAGTAAATATGTTTTTTATTAAACATACCTTTTTTAAGACTTTCATGGCAAATATTTTGCCCGAAGCAGCTCCCACAACTTTTCGAACTTGAAAAACCTGCAAAAAGGCAAACAAAGTTATTTGTGAGCTTGTCAAAAGAAAAGCTGGAAATAAAATAGTTCAAGGCCATGTGCCTCTTCAACACATACCTTTCCATAACCGCCTTTTCCCAGAACTCTTAGCAGTTCAAAACACTCTGGTCTAATATTTTCTGTCCCCTGATTGACGTTGTCTTCCGATATCTCTATCTTCTCACAACCTTCCATGTTGCTGCAAAGAGACATCCAACACAGAAAAAACATGTTGTGGTAATACAATCTCTGGTGACGGCCAATATTCAATGCTTACAAGTCAAATCCACTGCACTGGTCCATGATGTCATTGATTTGTGCCTGGAAGGAAAAGCAGATGCTGATATGTCAAACATAAAGAAAAGAACAAGGCAGACAATAACATCCCCGCCCCCCACACACACACAAAACTACCCACCCCCCCAACACAGACACACACACACACACACACGCACGCATGCATGAATGTCCAGACTGTTATTTATTCCTGTTCATGATTCTGTAAACTATTAATTCCCTGTTTGACCTGGTCGATATTTTATAAAACAATAGTGCATATATTAATAACACAACACAACAGGTGAGGGCGAAAAGCTTAATGCTGCATATCGCTGGCGTTGGGCCAAAACTTCCTATGTAACAATTTGTTCACTATTTTATTGTTGAATGTGTGGGTGTTTTTTTTTTTTGTTTTTTTTTTACAAATGGTTGGCCAACTTCACATGTTAAAAATGGTTTGCACTCTGATGTAATGTTAATGGATGAATTGACATACTTTTGGGGGGTGTCCTAAAGAATGATGATTTTGACAGTACAAGGATTCCGCCTGACACCAGCGATATGTTTCCAGGGGAAGGTTGGGGTTTTTCGCCTAACATGTCTGTTTACGGAGAAGGCGTTCCTCTTCATATAATAAATATGAGCTGTTGAGATGCAGCATTGTCTCCTGAACATCACACGAAGGAGGATGTTGAGCAATGCTCTAAATTTAAACATATAATACATTAAAAATAATCATCTACAATGTAAGCTTGATTAAAAAAAAGGATAATGCTATTAACTTGAAAATACTAACAGCAGTTAGAACAGTATGTTTTTGAGAAATACCGTACTTTGTACACAACACAAGCACATGTACGATCGTGCATTTATTCTGCACCACAAGGTAGAACTCCACTGAACTGCCAAAATAAACTGTTGCGTACAGAAACACATTTATCACTACTGGCCAGTGAACAAGTAAGGCTGTGCTTGCACAATTCCAACCTGACAGCTATGGCATTTAAACGTTAAAGCATCCCAGTTCCACAAGTTCCTGTTATTAGGTAGACACAAAGACAACAAATTTGGCCGCTCTGAAAGAGGTGCAGATTAAAAGTGGCGCGCATGTTAGCTTGTGCTAACGCTGGCCGTGAGGAGGCCCGGGAGTTCCAGCTGCGGGAGTAGGCCCGCGGTGTTTGGCAGGCAAGCAGGCAGGCAAGCTAAGCGACAAACAGCTAACTCGATAGCTACAGTGCATTAAGACTTTCTGCTGTGACATGTCGAGCGGCTCAGCTCAGAAGCTCCGTTTGAAGTACCTCGTCAGTCTCATCATCGGAGACATTTTGCTCCGGCTGGTCCAAATCAATGTCAAACACTCCGGCCATGGCAGCGATTCGTTCGGTTCGCTCTGTCACAGACCGCAAGAATTACGTCCCCTACCTCATGTACAAACACAGACGGCCGCCATGACCGGCTACTACGCTGAGCATGCGCAGTGCAGTACACTTCCAAAAAGGCGGTGGGCGGTAACCCAAGATTTGTTTTTTCATTTTGTGACAAAACAACAATAAACACTGAGCCAGAAGTCCTCGCCGACCTATGTCTTTTGTTTTGAAAGTGGAATTCAACTATTTACAATGGATATTAAATGTGTCTACAAATAATGCATCTCGTTTGTAAACGTGATACTGTAAGGGTCACACAAAAAAGATTAGTTATTATTACGAGAAATTAATAGTATATTTTCGAGGAAACACTCGTTTTTTTATGAGACCAAATACAACATTCTTTTTTTTTTTAATTTAGTACAGGCCGAATTTCTGATTGACCTGTCGCGACTTAACGAAAAATACGAAGCATTTAATTTGAAAGTTCAACAAGTGGATACCGGAAATCCGCCGTCAAAGCGGCAACAATGAAATACTGTACTTCCACAGTGTTCCTTCTAAATCTAGACATGGTCGGCCGTTGTTGTCGTCAGTAGCTAAGTGACTACATGTAAAAGGAGGCGTGTCATCCCAAATTCGGATAAAAAATGTCAGTGGTGACCGTCCAGTTGGGTCAGTGCGGCAACCAGGTGGGTCTGGAGTTATTTGACACCCTCTACAATGACGCTCAGGCAGGCCAAAGGAAAACATACGCTACTGCCAGCTGTGGACGCTTCTTCCACCAAACTGAACATGGAGGTAACAAGTTTCCCTTCGCTTTACTTTTTTGATTAAAGGTAAAGTTGACTCCCATCCCTTGGGAATCCCGCAAAAATGTCAACCTAGTCTAGAGGGTAACTGATTGACTTTTTTTTTTTTACATTCTGAAGAACATGTTGCCAGGGCAGTGCTGATTGACATGGAGCCAAAAGTCATCAAGCAGAATTTCAGCAAGACAGCCAAATCTGGCAAGTGGAAGTATGACAATGCATCAGGCTTCAACCAGAGGCAGGGGACTGGGAACAATTGGGCGAACGGGTGAGGTGATTCACTTTTATGATTTATGTAGAAAGTGTCATTAAAATTCTACACTACAATTGCATGAGTTAACAAGTACACGATTTATTTTAAACAAAATTTGGGGGGCACTTGCTGCACGGTGTGCTTGTGATTAAGATGTGTGTCTCACGGTTCTGGGTTTGAATCTCAGCAATGGCCTTCATGAGTGGAGTGTGCAGATTCTCCGGGTACTCCGCTTTCCTCAAACATTCCAAAAACATGCATGTTCATTTCATTGAAGAGTCATCAAAATGTGGACCTCATGATGAAGAGAACTGTTTAAATATCTTCGTCTACTTTGCATTAAATTTTCAAATTGAACTAGGACATTTTTTACACTTAAAAAAAAATGCATGTCCTCTTAAATATACAAATATGTTCCCCCAATGATATGATATCATAAATGGTATGATGACAATAGAGTGCAGCTTGTAAAACTCAAAACTTGTCTCCAGGTTTTGTATCCAGGGCCCTCGTCACAGAGAAGCGGTGGAAGACATCTTGCGGCGGGAGGTGGAACGCTGCGACCGACTGCATGGCTTCTTAGCTTTGATGAGTGTGGCGGGTGGGACGGGCTCTGGTGTGGGCACCCATGTCACTCAGTGTCTGCGGGACGTCTACCCCAAATCCTTCATTGTCAACCACCTAATCTGGCCATACAGGACTGGTGAGGTATGAAGACCTCTCTCGGCATGTGTAAGAAATGAAAAGTTTCAAAAGAATAACCGCTTTGTGTCTTTTAGGTGATTGTGCAGAACTACAACTCGGTACTGACACTGGGTCACCTCTACCAACTGTCGGATGGCCTCCTGGTGCACGAGAATGACACGGCGCACAGGATTTGCAGTCAGCTGCTCCATATCAAAGACATCTCCATTGCTGATATCAACAAGGTGATCGCTCATCAGCTGGGAACCGTCCTTCAGCCTGCGCTCACCGCTGACTCCAACGGAGTCTACAGCACGAATCCTCTGGGTGAGAGACACACCGCATGATATCCAGCGTTGGGTTGATGCGTGACAAATGAACTCTTGCATCTCGGTGCCAAGGAACTGATGAAGTGAGTTAAGGAGCTTTGGGCGGGGGGCATCGATCAGATGTGGGTTTTCACTATTTTAACGGCTGTGAATTATGTGGTTTTTAATTTTTTTTTTACACAAGACCAGTCTCTTCTGCACCATTACAAATCAAAGGAGTAAATCCAATAAAAGTACGAAATAGTATGACTCATACATATAGTTGGGCATCAAGTCTCAGGAATCATTGGAACTCCGACCAACATTCAAATTCTCCCATTTTTATCCATATTAGGGGGCTGCCATTTTGTCCTGTACACTGTGACGTCGATTTCAGTCGACAGCAGGTGGCAATAAAGGACAAAATGGCAACCCTTGGGATGGATAAAAATGGGTGGAAATTTCTCTAGAACATATTAACGCAATGAAAATGTTTGACTTGACTTTGCTTTAAGTGATGAATTTGCTCTCGAGGTCCTTATCCACAAATAGCAAGGAAACACTATAGTAATTGGAATGAGACACGCTCACAAACAGTGGAGGAGAATGAGACAACTGAACTGAACCGAAGATTTGCTTGGATTATTTACTGCATGTACAGCTGTTAATTGCAGTTATTTCTGCTTTCCGCTCAGGTGAATTTGTGAGCGCCCTTGCATGCCACCCTGAGTACAAGCTGCTCAGCATGAGCACCATACCTCAAATGACAAGTTCCTCCATTGCATTCACCGATTTCCGATGGCCAGCACTGATCAAACACTTGCGCCAGATGCTCATCTCCAACTCCAAGATGGAGGAAGGCAAGTATGGCCAGAAATGGATTATCCCCTGTTTTAAACTCTTGTAAAAGTGGCTTTGAGTATGATGAAAAGCGCTTTCAAAATAAATGTATTATTATTATTTCCAGCACTCAAGGCCAGCAGCAGCCTGTCGACAAAAAAATCCTCTCCAATCTGCTAAATACATGAATTATAATGATGAAAAAAAATCAATGGAATGTCATAATTATAATGAACAACACAAATAAGGACAACTAAATTGATTTGTTCGATATCTTGAGATTCCTTTCAGAATCAATTTTTTTCCTATGGTACACTATGCTATACCACAAAACACTCTTGTCACTCAAAATTATGTAATCTTCCGAAAAAATACGAGGTTGCAAACACAAGCACACAAAAACATTTTACTGTAACATTTCAGAAATATTGAATCTTAAGTGTTCTTTGAGGAACTTAAATTATTTTTCCAAAGGGTTGCACTCTATTGTTGCATATAATTTGGAAAAAGGCACCAAATTCTTGTAATATATTCCAGTAATTGTCTTGTTTTGAATTTCATCTGTAAGGACTTGGGCTTTGGAACCGGAGGGTGACAGTTCAAATAGAAAATTCTTCCCACAAGAACTATATTTCCCACTTCCTTTTGGTGCAATGGTGTGTTGTTTCAGCCTTCTGTATTATAACATAATACGTTCAGTATTCTTCCGACGTTGTAAATGCACCCGTCACATCTTAAGGGATATTATAAAACACCGTATGTTGGCAGGTATAGACTGGCAGCTGCGTCCATTGGCTGTCTCCGAGAGGACGAGGAGTCTGACTGGATCCAACGTCAACACTTCCTTGGCCAATCTGCTCATACTGAGAGGCAAAGACGTGTTCAGTGCAGAGACAGGTTTGACAGATCATGGCTAAATGTACTTAATGTTTTTTTTTTTTTAAATTAACATCAGCAGCTTTCCGTTCAAATAGCTAATGTGAATAAAATCTCCACTCCAATAGGTATCTTCGACGATGCAGCCCTTTACAGCTCATGGCTCTCACCTAAAGATGCTTTCAAAATTTGGAAATGCCCTGTCTCGTTTAATAAGTATGAAAAAACGGCGACGTTGGTCAGCAACAGTCAAGCTTTGATCGAACCATTGGACAACATGGTGAGAAAAGCTTGGAGTATGTTTGCTGCAAGGTGAGTTCTCCTAGGAGATGAGGTGCTCCCTTCTAAGGTTTAGGTAAAAAAAGAAAAATATATTCTAGAATATCAAAGCTGCAAAAACCATGATGATGTGGCAATTTCTACAGTATATGACCAATCATGTCATGATCATTTTTTGGGGGGTGGAAGTTAAGAGTGTTTTTATTTTTTGTCGTTTTGTTTTTGTTACAGGGCCTACATCCATCAGTATACAAAGTTTGGGATTTCCGAAGAGGATTTCCTTGAAAGCTTTACTTTTACAGAGCAAATAATTTCCAGCTACAGTCAACTGGGCTGTAATGTATAAAACAGAATGGCAGACTGTCTTTTACCTTGAGGACTCCAGAAACACACAATACATGCAATGCTGCAAACATTGTACATGACTAATTCCATGACTAATAAATGTATTTTTGTTGCTCAAAGCATCTATGAATCATACAAGAGAGAACAATTTGAAAGGAACACCACCACATATAGTAATTATATCAATTTATTGTTTAAGGATTCCACACAGTAACATTTTTATCATCGATTAGATAAAAACAGGCTGTTCATCGAAGTGTGGTACACTGCACAAAAGTAAAAGGCAGATGATGACCCACAACTTCAGTCAGCTTACAGACTGCTGTTGCCACGGGAGATTTAACAGCCAACACCAGTCTGATAAGCTAGCTGATGAGGTGGACATTTGGTGGCCCACATGCACACTGCCAGGCTGAAACAAGAACCGTAAAGAATAGGAGGACAACAAGGAACTACCACACACACTGATAGTCAACGTAACTTGGACGCAGCCAGCTGTACAGCCCTGCCAATGTGTTCACTTACCTGGTAGATCTTTTCTTCAAGGGACATATACTTTTCAAGCCTTAGCACAATAAGCAAACCAATGAATCACACTTGGATACAAGTGTCATTATTGACATGACTTTATAGATGATCCAATTCCAAGGTCTAATCTAACAGTACAGAACTAGAAATAGGACTAGTTGCCTTAAAGTACAGCGTCACTACAAACTGTCACTAGTTTGATTCAAGATCATGTGACTCCTGGCCACGTACTGTTTAAATTTAGAACAGAAGTACATCGATGCATAATGTCCATGATTGAGATATCTACACAATGTGCAAACCACCAATAACACATTTTACATTGATATTGCTTTTTTCTCTCTTCTTTTTTTTGGGGGGGGGGGGGGGGGGCGTGTGACTGACAAGTCCAGGAGCAAATAAAATAATGTCTAATCGGTCCAAAATATAAGACTATCTCAACCCTGAAAAGAAAGAGCATTTAGAAGCAGTTATCCTGGCAGCACACTGTACATACAAATCAAAAGCCAGTCATATATTAATGTTACAAAATTAAATACAATTTCAAGAACTATTTTCAAGGGAAGTCAAAACTTCCCATCTTTGCATAAGGCATCGCATCTGATCGGCAGTGCCCTTACACACAAGACACTCCCCCAAACCACTGCTTCACTTGTGAGTTCAAAGTACGGAATCATCAGAAAGTAAGACCATTAAATTAGCAGGATAACCAGGCGCTTTCCAGACCGAGTGAGATGAGACACACTACAAATAACGGTGGAGACAGATTTGAAAATGCAGACACACACATACCGAGGACACAAGTCTGCTTTGGCGCGCGCTCAGCCTCTGAGCGTGGAAGGTGAGGTTTGTCGGCAAGTCATGAGTGGACATGGTCCGAGCAGCAGCGGCCGCAGATGCACAGTCACTTCTTGGATGTTTGTCCCCCTTGGTCCCTTGTCACTTGGTCTTCTCCACCAAGTGCCTTTGTTGCTGGAGCCGCTTGGCATAACTCTGAGCCATGGAGTTGACGATGGAGATGACAAAGTAGCAGACCATGACCAGCACCAGCTTCTCAAACAGCCAGGAAAGCCAGTTGTCATCCTGGAGAGCAACAGTGATGGTGGATTGTTTTTTTAATACTACACCAGTGTACTGCAAAATGAAACATTCATGAGTATCTAAAGGCCAAGTAGCAGTCAAAGACCAAATTATTTTGTTACAAATACAATGCTTCCCTGCTATATCACAAGTCAATATTTGCACTTTTACTATATCGTGTTATTTTCAAGCATTTTTTTTCGCGTGTCTTCACATATATGCACTTACTGTAATGCGTTATGTAGGAAAGGAGAGCCACAGTCAATAATGCACTTCTCTGCTGTTCATTGAACAGTAAAACAATTCGCACACTTGTACAGAAGCTGCTGTTGTAATGTAATCTGGACAAAGTGATCATAATCTTTAACACTTGGATGAAAATCCTTAGTTGTCCATGACAATATAAGTCTGCCTTGAAGATACACTTCAACCTCAAATGCTGCTCTTTTTTTTTTTTTTTTTTTTTACAAGTGTTGCAACATTTATTATGTCAACAGCAGAATGAAGTTCAAATCAAATTTGGCCTTGATGATTATTCCATTTACTTGCCTTCAAAAGTTGCTTTTCTTAACAGCAACTCATAAAATGGAGTCCCTAGAAATTTAGGTGTTCTGTGTCAGTACTGTATATATTAAATATACAGTATCAAGAAAGATGTATTACTGAAAAAGATGTAATTGTACACTTTTCGTTCTACTGACAGATACCAGATTTCAGTGGAATTTATTTCTGTTTCTTTTACCTAAACTCCATTTTGATGTCAGGTATAAAGGGAAAAAACATACCAAAAAAAAACCCACTCAGTGTTTTGAAGTAGTAAATAAGTCAAGTGCATAACCATGTCAATGTCAGGTCCATTAATTAATCAATAACCAAAGTTCTTCATTTGAGTGGAAAGATAACTATTTGCAAATGAAATAGTTTGGGCTTACCGATGCCTTTCTTCTTTCACCATGATGCAGCTTGTTCTTTTGTGCTTCCAGGTAATGGCTGAAGGGCTTCTGGAGTGATGGTCCTACTTTGGGTATAGACCTGGCAAACAACAAATCAATACAAGAGATCAGAATGTCTTTATGATACTCACCCAAACACCTCGAAAAAGACGAGCCCAAGCTCGCAGAGCATGAATACAATGAGATTTTTTTTTCCTATTCATTTTCAAGCAAAGATCCCAAGAGCAGCCATGCTGCACATGAGTCCAGCAGGAGGAGAGGCAAGTGAAGCACTTGGTCCTCAGCCCTTCTTTTTTATACTCCTTAGCTCTCCTCAGGCACTTGTGTCAGCCCCTTCAACCGGGAAGTGACTCGCCATGACGTCATCACACTTACCACCCATATGGGTGCAAAGACATCTAATCAGGGCATACTTGCATCCTTATTAGGCAGGGTATGCTATCTCTTCAGGGGGTGGAGCAAAGCACGATTGGCTTACGATTTCTGTACTTTCACGGCAAATTATTTAAAATAAAATAAAAAAAGACCAACGGTTTCAACAAATGCGGTCTGATCCGGACAAAAGCGTACTGCCTAGAGTCGCAAAACTAGGAACACGACTAACCAACCAACTAAATCAACGACAGCTGATTTCACTCAGACTGACTCGCCGTGTTCTCCTCATGTTGTCATGCGAGCACACACGGATGGACAGACTGCGCATCACGGCGAGTCACCGAGCTTCTGTCAGAATGTCATTGACTTCGCCGAAAACACAAGTGGGATCATCAAAGTCCATCCGTTATTTTGGGGTAGTATATTGATTTATTTATTGTTAATGAGTGGATTTTATGCCATGGTTTTTATGTTATACTGCACTCTGAGTCGAGATCAGAAAATAACCAAAACATACATCCATAATTTTTAAAACACACACACACACACACACACACACACACACACACACACACACACACACACACACACACACACACACACACACACACAGTTATATTTTGATGTATATTTTAAAAATTATATACATATTACCAAGACATGGCTTGAGCAAATCATATAGTATCTTGGCAATTATGTTTCAGTGAGTTGATTTGGTACCATTGTTTTAAAGTAATGTTGTGAACTGTTTTTGGATCAGAAAATGACCAAAATATGACTTATGTAACAGTGGGTCACGAGTCATGACTTTGTACCAACGGGGATGCAGGTTTTAGGGTGACAGCAGTTGAGAACCACTGCAATGAAGCACCTGATCTGACAAGACTCACATGAAGATACTGACCCAATGAGAGACACCATTTGCTCCACGATGTGCTTGCTGAAGGTGATGATAACAAACAGCTTCTGTTGACAGATGACAAATAGTAAATGCTGTAAAGTGGGAGAATTTACGAGACGTTTAACTTGGTTTTAAGTCTTCAGACCAAGGCTGAAATTGACTACAGACCTACTAATGTTTACTGATGAGAAAATCTAAACGTGGCAGTATGTTCGATTTCGAGCTGCAAGGAATTTGTTGTGGTTCACAGTGTTAGTGGGGGGGCACACCGCAATATTCTTTCTCATGAAAGTGATCAGCATTTTAAATGACGCATGGATCCCCTGGACAATTCTAGACAGGATATGACATGAAATGTCCACCACGTTCAAAGCATAAACACACAAATAAAGCCTCTCGGTTTTCAAGACATTTTATTGGGCTTAACTTTCTTCACTCATGTCCACTTTACATCCTCTTGAACCCCCTGCTGCGTGACGGGACCCTTTGTCTGAAATGTGCGATGGTGAGGTCACTGGCTGGGACCACCCAGGGATGGAAAGGTATACGACTCACTGACTCACATACACAGTTACTCAAACAAGGTTCATATTAGTCACTTGTGTGGAAGACTGAAAAATTATCAATTTACAGAACAGAACTTTCTGATATGGGAGAAACGGAAAAAGACCGAACTATGGAGGGCTTCAGGCTTCTTTTTCCCTGTTCTGAGTGTTTGATTTGTGTGTTCTAAGTACTTTCTTTTTGTCTATTTTTTTTCCCACGGTGGATCACGATTAGAATAAACCTGCACAATTGATGTGTTATTTTGGTGGGCATTAGCCTCGACATGTCAGTTGGGTGAATGGAAGCACTGACCTGAATGTGCATCTTGATGATGGCTTTTCCAATGAGAGTTGCCCCAAAGAAGGTCCAAAAAGGGACCAGGAAGTGCCCACAGGTGATTCCCGCCAAGTCGAAAAGAGGATTTGGGATCTAAAAGGATACCACACGGTTAAAAAAATGTCCCCTACAACTATCATTGTAAAAAACACACAAAGATGAAGACGAATCTTGACAGCAAATTTTCCTACCGAAGCACAAGCCAAGATCCCAAAGAACCCCACTTTCTGCACCATGTGTTGGACTCCCATTTTTGCTCTGGTGACAAAATCCTGCAAGAGGAAAGGAGAAACATTTTGTACAAAATCAAACTACAACATACTGTATCTATAACCAGATGCGTTCAGTTCTCTTTGGGTGTGAGCCTCTTTTTTAAAACTGAGGAAATGCAATGTAACGG